GAAGTGCCGTTTCAACCATTCTTCCGCTTTTAAGACCGAGTCGATTTTCTCCCTTTTATCTCTAAATTTAAACATGACACCTTCAGGAAAGTTCCAAGAATACGAAATTTGATTGATCTGGAGGGTTGAAATCAGGTCTTTATACGCTTTCCTTTTCTGACGAACTTCAAACGGAGTGTCCTTTAGGACCCTGATGACTGTTGTTCCCAGCTGCAGAGGGCTTGCCGCTGTTGCTTTAAGGATATCATCCCTGGTCTGTCTTCGGAGAAACTTGACGACAACTTCGCTCGGCAGGTTATTCCGCTTAATATTTTTTGAGTATGACCGATAAGTCACCTCAATTTCCGCTTCTGCTTCTGCCATTGACACCCCCACTGCCGATGCAATGAGCTCTGCCATCATCTTTTCCAAGTTTTCTCCTTGCGATTCAGCAATCCCCTGGAACCTGAGTGTCTTGTTTGCTTTTTCCATTTGCAAGTTCAGCAATCTTCTCTCCTGAAATTCTTGCCTCTGTTCCAACAGGCCAATCTTCTTTTTAACTTTCTTGGTATCGTGTACAGTTTCTTTAAGTTTTTCCTCTGTCTGTATCGATTTTTTGGTTAGCTCGGCAATTTGCTGTTGCTGCTTTGCCAGACTCTGGTTTGAAGCGGTCATCTGTTGGTTAATACCATCGAGCCTCTTGTTGATTGGCTTGAGCAGTTCCGATAGCATGGAGAACAAGTCCCCCGTCTCTTCCGGTCTCGGACTCTGACCGCCCCGCCCTGTTATTCTGGGTGGTTTTCCTCTCGTTCCGGCCATTTTCAACTTTGTTTACACTAGAAGAACCTCTTTCGCCCTTCTTCAAAAAAACGCCCGGTTTACTTCGCAAACGCAGCTAAGTCTCTAACACACTTTAATGTTTCTCTTCTCTCCTCCCCCCTCCGTTTATCTAACACAGTTCATTTGTTTACGTCTGGGATTCCTTCCCGACGCCGCTTTCCGTTGGGGGGGGGAGAACTCACTTTTAAAACTTTTCCGCTTGGCTGCTTCTCCAGTTCATTGCCGGTCTGTAAACAGACCCCTTGTAGCTTCGTTAATTCGCTGACCTTCTCTGCTTGTCCCGGTCGGCATCGGCTATGCTCAGTTTAAAACTGAGCCTCACAGTGGACGGACCGATTGGGGCAAAAAGGAGCGCCTCAATTCTCCGGCATTACGCCATCGAAGAGGTCACCCCCCCCAGCGCCCCCGGCTTGGAGCCTATACCTAAGGCTCACCTGGGAGTGCCACTTGAGGTGGCACCCCTCCAATTCCACTGGAGCGCAGATCGCCTCCCCAGAGGTAGGGGAGAGCGTCTGCCATCGCCGAGCCACAGACCGGAAGTCCCGCTTCAGTCCCGGTTCCTAAACAGGACAGAAGCTTTTGTGTATGAAATGGCAAATACATTCCGGTAGGGAACCGATTCTCAACCGGGTTCTGTCTGAAATGACAAACCAGAACCCGTTTGAGAACCGGTTCCCTACCGGGAGATATCGCCTGTCTGAAATTCCTCAATGATTCAGTGACATGTAGGAAAAATGAGCACAGCAAAGGTAGGCAGACGAGCAAAATAAGAAATCCTAATGCTTCTTGCCTGTACTGCCTCTGGCCTTCTCTAGGGATTTGCTCCAAAGTGACTCACCCCCTTTTGGATGAGGGATCCCTCCTCCGTCTGCAGTAGCCTCACCAGCTCTGCTCCCTGGGAGTGAACCCTCCCTCCCACTTTGGGCGAGGCCTTTTATCTCTTCTTCCCAGGCAACACCCTCTACTCCACTACTGGTCTACGTTTTCCCTCCAAATCCCCTGTTAGCCAATCACGGTGTCCAAAGTAGACCTGGGCAATGCAGGCCCAGTAGTCACTGTAATACAGGCTTCCCTGGAGCCACTAGGCCTCCCCAGAGCCTGTAGGCCGCACCATTATAGGCCCACGATCACGACGCCTCCCCCGGACTTTGCTGGGTTGAGGAAGCACGGGGAGCGCTCAAGGAACAAGACGCTGGCGACCCCTTTGGCCCAGCTGCAAACACCATCCGGGCTCTTCCGGCTGGAGAGGCTCCCTCTGCATGCCTCCTGGCAAAGTCTGGTGGGGACAGATTCCATTGCCAAAGGCCATGTGCTTGCCGCTGCTCTCGCGGTCACTCATGCAGCTGCCAAAGCACAACGGCTCTGTCCAAAGGCGGGCCTGGGCATGCCGACGGGCCCTCCTCCCCCCAAGCGACAAGGTCCGATCTGGGGAGGTGCTGGAACTCCTAGGAATTAGACCCCCCAAGCCACCACACCCGGGCCTCAGCCCAGGTGGCCCTAAAACCAGGGAACAGAAGAAGAAGAAGAAGAAGAGATTGGATTTATACCCCGCCCTTCACTTGGAGTCTCAGAGCGGCTGCTCACGACAGGATGCTCACGACTTGCGACGCCATACTCACGCGGTCCAGCGGCGGGTGCAACGCCAGAGCCATGCTGGGCGTAAGGCGGGGGTGCTCCTCTGTGGGAGGACATGGGTGCAGCTGGGGCCACACTGGGCAGAGGCATCGCTGGTGCGGGCGGAGGCGTGTAGGGTGAAGGCAGGGGGGGCCGAGTGAGGGACGGTGGGGTGAATGGCAGTTGGCCGGGACCCTGTTGCAAAAGAGGAAGGGACGGAGGATGAGGTGAAGACTCGGCGGGCATGGCTGGCTCAGGGTCAAGAAGTCGCTGCTTGCCTCTTCTTTTGCTCAGAGGCACACGCCACATGCCACACTCCATGGCTAACACGCCAACACTCCCGGGGTTCAGGTGGACGTGCCCCATTTACTGGGCACGCAACTGAGTCTCCTTCTCCCACGGCATGCAGTTAATGGCCTTATTATAATTACGGGGCCTCAAAAGAGTCCTGTGTTGTAATTTTTCGTTACTCCTTCCCCTGGTCAGGAGTAGGGGAAGCAGGGATGAAAAATAACAATCAGGGGTCATTTCGTAGGAAAAGAGGTGCAGGAGCTGATTAGTATAACTCATTAGCATAACTCATTAGCATATGCCACACCCCCTGACATCACCGGAAGGGTGTCAGAAGGCAACACCCCCCGCTCAGGCTCCACAGCTGTTTTGGATTGCCAGCTATTGGGGGGGGGACATATGGAGATCTGTCCTCGCAGAGGAGGGAGAGCTTATACCTGAATAAAACTTGGTCTTCAAGGTGCCACTGGACTGTTTTGGGCCGGGGACAGCTCTGCAACTTACCTGGTTGCTTCTTGCTCTGACTGAGGGCTGCTGGGAGCAGGGGGTGTGGCTTGTTGCATGTGCCCGCCCCCTGGGCTCTTTACTGCCGGAGCTTCGCTCCTGTGCGCTCCGGCAGGAAATGACCCCTGATAACAATACAGAACTCTTTAAAGGCCCTGAAATTGGAATGAGGGGAATCAGGGTTCGATCCTGGAGAGGGAGCCTGAGAAACGGACACCACATCCAAGGAAGGCAGCAGGCGTGCAGCTAGTGGCCTCCGTCCCACAGCCGCTTTCTCTTCCCCCCCACTGGGCTTTGATTCATGGAGGCTGCTCCCTAGCAACAGCAGCCCGAGGACACTGAGAAGAGCCCAACGGGAGCCCGGACACAGCACGGCAAGACCAGCCGGTCCAAGCAGTGGCTGCAACAGCCCCATCCCATGTCCCCCCTCCTCCCCCCACCCACGCGGCATAGGAGATGCATCACCTCCAGACAGAGGAGGGCGGTCCATATCTTACTTATTTTATATCCCACCTTTATCCCTAATGAGGACCCAAGGCAACCTACATCCTTCTCCTCTCCTTCAATGTATCCTCACAACCACCCTGTGAGGTAGGTTAGGCTGACAGAGTGTGACTGGCCCAAGGTTACCCAGCGGGTTTCTGTGGCATTAGTGGGGATTTGAACCCAGGTCTGCCAGAAAGCACCCTGACACTCTTAACCAGTACACCATACTGGCTCTCTCATATGTGACCTCACAGGCCTATCCTCCTTGAATTAGACCTTGTGGCAGGGAGTCCTGTAAGCCCATCATGCACTGCGGCAGGGCTTTTTTTTGTAGAAAAAGCCCAGCAGGAACTCATTAGCATAATAGGCCATACCCAACAGCAGGAACTCATTAGCATATTAGGCCACACCCCTGACAGCACAGCTCATTCGCATATTAGGCCACACCCCCATGTTACCAGAAGTGTGGTCATCCAACCACACCCACCTTTTGCTTCTTATTCTCTTTACCTTGTTTGTTGTCAAAACCCAGGGCTTTTCTTTTGTAGCAGGAACTCCTTTGCATCTTAGGCCACACACCCCTAATGTAGCCAATCCTAATGAGTTTCTGCTGTTGGGTGTGGCCTATTATGTTAATGAGTTCCTGCTGGGCGTGTCCAACTTGGGAGCCAGCCAGAACTCCGTTCCTGTGCGTTCCTGCCCAAAAATAGCCCATCATGCACTGTGCTATGAATTACTTTCCTTGGCCTCTTGAGAATCTAGAGCCAATCAATTTCGTGTTGTGAGCTCAGAAGCAAGATCCCCACCTTGTGACGAAAGCAAAGCAGCAGGACAGCCCCTCTCCTTAGGGGGAGCCAAACAAAAACCTCACTTTAGCCAAGCAAGAGAAACAGGGAACTGTTGGCGGCCCCCCGTTTTTTCCCTTGCGAGACCCTGCATTCAAAATTATGAAAATGGCAGTAGGTGGTACAAAGAGGACACGAATACTTTCAGAGAACTGGTGGGACGTAGTCAGGCCGGCGCGTGCAGGATCAAGGCTCACGTCCCCACTGCGCCACGGATGCTCGCTGGGTGACCTTGAGCCAGTTATACTCTCTCAAGTCTGGCCTACCCCACAAGGTGGTGGTGGCGGTTCAGTTGCTCAGTTGATTTGCCACCAAGGGAGGGAGGTCGTTGAATAGACAATTGCTTCCCATCCTTTCTGATACCCTGGGCTATTTTTGGGCAGGAACGCACAGGAGCCGGCTGGCTCCCAAGTTGGCCACGCCCAGCAGGAACTCATTAGCATAATAGGCCACACCCAACAGCAGAAACTCATTAGGATTGGCTACATTAGGGGTGTGTGGCCTAACATGCAAAGGAGTTCCTGCTACAAAAAAAGGCCCTGGGTTTTGACAACAAACAAGGTAAACAGAATAAGAAGCAAAAGGTGGGTGTGGCTGGATGACCACACTTCTGGTAACATGTGGGTGCGGCCTAATATGCTAATGAGCTGTGTTGTCAGGGGTGTGGCCTATTATGCTAATGAGTTCCTGCTGTTGGGTGTGGCCTATTATGCTAATGAGTTCCTGCTGGGCTTTTTCTACAAAAAGATACCCAAACGTCTACCCCTGGGGAGGAGAGAGAGGGAAGATGAAGGCAGTGGCTGCCGGCCATACAGAAAACGGCGGTCTCCCAGAGCGCCCGCTCTCCTGTCCGAGAAGGGACGGGAACTGAGAACAGGAAAGCAGCAATTTAACATCAGACGCGGCCTCCAGTCATTGGGAAGAATGATCGTCTTTCCAGAAAGCCCTTCTTCTCCAAGGAGACAACAAAAAGTATTGCAGTAATAGGAGACTGCAGTTATCACGGCGATACCTGGGTAAATATTCCGGTCGCAGCAGATACAACTGTTATGTCCGTGGACCGCCACTGGGCACCCACGATACAGTGGAGCTTGAGTCCAAAGAACAATGAGGACTAGGCTCCTGCACCTTGCCTCTAGGGGAACCAATGGGGCATTGGCGGGAGGTTTGAATGGGCCAATGGGATTCCGCAGGGGTTCCCCAGACTGTATATAAGCGGCCGGTCGGCCGTTGGTTAGTGGTTCGTGTTATGTACCAATAAAGTGTGCCGTGTATTATGCGTGCCTCGGTAGTTCTTCCATGCGGCTAGACCACTACATAACAACAACGAATGCCTGTGCCTTAGAGGGGAGGAGACCCTAGATATGTTACCAGTCTCTGCCCAGATGCAGGGGTTACCTGGCTGATTGGGAACTGTAGCCCCAACAATACCAAGTCCGCCCATTGCACTGGGAACCGAGATGCAAATTCTTGACTGCAATAACAGATCAATTGCAAAATTTTTCTGACACCGATAAATTAATATTTCTGCTGTCATATGCAGACCCTACAGTTTCCTATATGGTAGCACTCTTCACCTTTGTTGTTGTTCAGTCGCACAGTCGAGTCCGACTCTTCGCAACCCCATGGACCAGCTCCCGCCAGGCCTTCCTGTCTTCCGCCGTCCTCTGAAGTTTGCTCAATTTCATGTTCGTTGCATCTATGACACTGTCCAACCATCTCATCCTTTGCCGTCCCCGTCTTCTTTGACCTTCAATCTTTCCCAGCATCAGGGTCTTCTCCAGTGAGTGCTCCCTTCTCATTTGGTGGCCAAAGTATTTGAGCTTCATTTTCATTATCTGGCCTTCCAGGGAACAGTCAGGGTTGATTTCTTTTAGGATTGACTGATTTGATCTCCTTGCAGTCCAAGTGACTCTCAAGAGTCTTCTCCAGCACCATAGTTCAAAAGAATCTATTCTTCGCCGCTTGGCCTTCCTTATAGTCCAACTCTCGCAGCCATACATGACTACTGGGAATACCACTGCTTTGACCATGTGGACTTTTGTGGGCAGGGTGATGTCTTCACCTTAGTGGCTAGTAAAATCAGGGCCAAGAACATAGGAAAATGAAATGAAATTGAGCTGTAAAACAGCAATATGTATGTGTTTCTGGAGATGGGTATCTATATTTAAGATTTTAATTCATTTAAATACTGAATGGGCAGATTTCAGAGCTTACTATATTTTAAATTTAATTCAAATTCCAGTGCTGTAAGTTGTCTTAATTTGTATATTGTTTAAATTTAAATTTTAAATTGTAATGGCCATTGGCTACACAATACATTTTACTACAACAATACCAAGTCAACCTACACCGTCTGTGGCTGGGAAATTGCCCAGAAGGTCCAAGAGTCACGTCTGATTTCAGAGGAGGAAATCTCACGCACACACACAAACGCACACACACAAAAATGAAGGGATTAATCAAATGGAAGCTTACAGGGAAAAAGCACTTCAGGAGGCCTGGAGGTTAATTAAACCCCCTATGACAGAGGCTCAGATGAAATGTATACCCCAAGTTCAAATGCTTTGAGTGAGTAAAGGAGGACTACGTCCCGGTCTGGCCGAGCAGTGGCGCCGAAGAAGCCCGTAAAGGAAAAGAGGCCGCCTGGCAAGAGTCAAAGTCGTGGGGGATGCAATGAAAGCACGGAAACGGTGGCAAACGAAATGTCCACTGACAACAAAGGGAGAAAAGGGTGAACGCGAGAAGGAGACCCGTCGAAGGCAGGCCAAAAGCACCTGTTTCTTTTCCTTATTTGTACCCCACTTTTCTCCCCGGCGGGGACCCAAAGTGGTGACAGCATTCTCTGCTCCTCCATCTTACACTCACAACAACCCTGCGAGGTAGGCCGGTCCGAGAGGGCGGGACTGGCCCGAGGTCAGCCGGCGCGCTTCCATGGCAGGACGGAGATTTTAACCCAGGTTTCCCAGATAAGAGTCCGACGCTCTAACCACTACACCATGCTGCCCCTCTCATTTCTTTCAATGCTTCGGGAGCAAGTAACTAGCCAGAAGGGGCAACTGGGCCTTTGTATCAAAGAGACGAGAGAGGAAGCTGCAGAGCAGTTGAAGGAACTCTTGGTGGAAGGGGCTGTTCACTGACCATTTGCCTGGGGGCTTCCCTGGGACTCCAGAAGCGACAGCCCGTGGACAGCTGGGTGCCCAGAAATGGCTGCTGCTCTTACGTCCGGTCCGTGGGCTTTCTGGCTGGCCACCCATGAAGCACAAGGCAGGGCTGGATGGATCCTTTGGTCCAACCCAGCTTCTGACACTCTTTTGCTTCGGACAGGCTACCGGCAGTGTGACACGGGAGCTAAAAGGGCAAATGTGATGTGTGTGATGCATTAGGCCCCTTGGCAGATACAAAAGCGGACATACTACAAAGCGAAATAGATATGATCTACAGATCTTATCCAGAATTTATAAGAAAAAATAATCTGCCGGGGGAAGTGATTGTTAAGATTCTCGAGAAGACAAGTGAGAGACCAAATTCTCAAAGCGACAAGTGGATCTACCTTGAAAATCAAAGACAAAGAAATAAAAGTGTTAAAGGATATACCATTTGAAATAAGGAGGAGGAGGAGGAAATACAGAGACTTAGTACTATTTCTACAAAAGAAAAGCATTCCCTACAGATGGATGGTACCCGAAGTCACAATCTTCAAATTCATGGACAAGGGGAAAAAATGACTCTGTTGAAAAGGCACAAGAATGTTTGCATCTACATAGTCGCCCATCAGGGGTGAAAGAACCCGAGAAAGAAGACAGCACTAACGAAACCGAAGAAGAAGGAGCAGCGACAGATTCAGATGAGGATCCAGACTCTAAGTTAGGGGCAGCTGCCCCGAAGACAAGCTATGATTTGAGAAAACAAAAATATAAGAACAAATGAGATGTTATTACACTTTGAAAACTCTATATATTTTAGTAATTAATTCTTATAATGCTTTTTAAAATAGGTCAAAACTAGACGTGGTTTAAGTTACTATATAAGCTAAAAAATAATTGTTAGATGACCACAGTCAATGACGTGTTATTGAACATGGAGCTAAAAGCTAATTTTGATAAGCAGTATGTATGACCACCATCTCTTGGGTTTTTAGTGGGATTTCTTTACTTTATCCCATAGCAAGTAGTTACCCTCCCTTATTTTCGTTCTAGTTTATTAGTATGTAGTTTTTAGAAATGCAAATTTAAAAAATCCCCTACGGGGGGCTCAAAAAAAAAAAAAGGGCAAATGTGATTTTGGGCTGTATCAACAGAAGTATACTGTCCAGATCACGCATAGTGATGGTTTTGCTTTAATTCGCTCTGGTTAGACCTCGACTAGAGTATTGTGTTCAGTTTTGGGCACTGCAATTTAAGAAGGATATAGACAAGCTGGAATGTGTCCAGAGGAGGGCAATGAAGATGGGTGAGGGACCAAGTTCTGTGAGGGCATGTTTAGCCTGGAGAGGAGACGACTCAGAGGTGATATGAGAACCATCTTCAAGTACTTGAAGGGCTGTCATCTAGAGGATGGTGTGTTGAGTTGTTTTCTGTTGCCCCAGAAGGTTGGACCAGACCCAACGGGTTGAAATTCAGTCAGAAGAGTTTTGAGCAAAACATGAGGAAGAACTTCCTAACGTTAGAGCGGTTAAGAAAATAAGAACATAAGAGACGCCAATGTTGGATCAGGCCAAAGGCCCATCATCTGACAGCAGTGCGGATTCTGTGAACTTGGACAGATCACAAGAGGGGAGGGCAGGAAGGAATGCCTCGGTGCTTAGTTCTCATGGCCGTTTTTAACACGCCCAGGGAAATGATAATCACCACTTTGGGGTCAGGAAGCCATTTTTCTCCAGGCCACTTTGGCCGGAGATCCTGGAGCTTTTTTGTCATCTTCTGGGCATGGAACAGCGGTCACGGGGGGTGGGGGGGTGGGTAGTTGTGAATGTCCTGCCTTGTGCAGGGGGTTGGACTAGATGACCCTGGAGGTCCCCTTCCAGCTCTACGATTCTATGATTCTACCACTGCGTCTTCATTCCCCTCAACATCCCAGAGAACACCGTCTCCATTGTGCCCATTTTTCAGACAAATGTAACGGAGGCTAAAGACCATCGCCTGCGGCAGGCAACACAGCCCAACCCAAAACTAGAACTGAGGACCGAGAATTCAAACCACAGAGTAGTTGTGCTTACTTGGACTGCATGCCCAGAGAGACCCGTTTTGGGGGCAAGTTCTTCGGTCGCTGGGCCACCCTTGCCTGCCGGATACTGTGGCTGAAGTGCTCCTGCATGGGCACGACTGTGGGCGACAGGAGAGGGGAACCGCTTTGCCACGTTTTCGCCCTGTGCGTGGCGCAGACGATCTCGGAGCTGCTCTGTCAGAAACTGAAAGAAGGGGAATCAGAGAGTCAGGGAGGAGCAGGGGTCATTTCCTGCGGGAGCGCACAGGAGCGGAGCTCTGGCAGTAAGGAGCCCAAGGGGCGAGCACATGCAACAAGCCCCGCCCCCTGCTCCCAGCAGCTCTCAGTCAGAGCAAGAAGCAGCCAGGTAAGTTGCAGAGCCCCACCTCCCCGGCCCCATGGTCCAAAAACAGTCCAGTGGCACCTTTAAGACCAAGTTTTATTTAGGTACAAGCTCTCCCTCCTCTGTGAGGACAGATCTGCACGTTCCCCCCCCCCCCCAAATAGCTAGCAATCCAAAACAGCCCAGTGGAGTCTGAGTGGTGGGTGTTGCCTTCTGACACACTTCCGGTGATGTCAGGGGTGTGGCATATGCAAATAAGTTATGCTAATGAGTTATGCTAATGAGCTCCTGCACCTCTTTTTCTATGAAATGACCCCCGCCCCTAAGCTCTAACTACAAACTCCACTAGCTAATCCTGAGTTTAGTTCTAGGGACTGTTTATCCCAATTCCCCCCTACACGGGAGTTAATCTGTTCAGATTCCTGGGTCCTGTCAAAATGTCCCCACATCAAGGGAGAGTCAGAAAAAAGGGGCTGCTCACAATCTTCCCCGTAACAGACGGATCACGTTAATTTACTTTCTGGTTATAAAGTGTGGGACCCAAGGGGGACTTCCACTTTTTAGCTATGGCTGATCTAGCTGCAGAATCTGTGGAGCCATTTTTGAACGCTGCATTTCATGCAGAGGATGAAGATGAGCACCCAGGCGCTGTTATTGTCAGACGTGACTTTTGAGATCTGTTGGCGAAGTATCAGCATTGGCTTGGGTCCTCAAACCACCAGATATTGAATTCCCAAATCCACCCAGCAGTTCAGTAGCAAAAAATATTCTCATCTCTGGAAATGACACCAAAAATATTGTTGATTTTTTTGGGGGGTAAAATAAAGCTTTCATAACAGACCTAGGACTGTGGCAAATTCTGCATAAACATTATTCTGCATAAACTGCTGAACTATTAGGAATATAATTAAGAATAGACAAGGGGGGAAACTGGCTAATTCATTGAGTAATGCATTATTTTTGGATTAGGAGGACTGATTTTTCTACAAGTGAAGTAAGGTGGAAAATATTAACTGCGAATATGGGAAGAGCTTTGTGAGACAACTCCTCCGACTAGAGGGCTGGCTGAGGTCTAAGGAACTCGCGGAAGTGGGCTGCCGTGGGTGCCTATTTCTTTGAATATGAGCTCTGAAGCTCGTTCCTTTGTTGCGTTCATTGCCCTTCTCATGGGCCAGCCAGTCTTTCAAAAGAAGAAGAGTAGGTTTTTATACCCTGCTTTTCTCTTCTTTAAGGAATTTCAAAACAGCTTACAATCACCCTTCCCTTTCTCTCCACACAACAGGCACTACGAGAGGTAGGTGGGGCTGAGAGAGTTCTGAGAGAACCGTGACTGGCCCAAGGCCACCCAGCAGACTTCATGTGGAGGAGGAGTGGGGGATCAAACTCAGTTCTCCAGATTAGAGTCCGCCGCTCTTAACCGTGACACCACTCTGCCTGGAGGCTACTCACTTTTGTTTGCAAGTCTTCTTTGCTGTGGCCCAGCAGCTTCAGCCGTTGCGTCCTGCTTTCTGGCTCCAAGTTCACCTGGACACCAAGGAATACGTGAGGATGAGGAGACGGGTGGGTTTGGACCATAAAATGTGAGCGTGCAAGGAGGTTAAAGGCTTTAAGCACCACAAACGGATCAAGATGTGCTCCGCTGTCCCCTCTGGGGGATGTGGGACACAGTCACTGGCCTGGCTCTTAAAGACGAAGCTATCAGCAGCCCAGGAGAGAATTCTGCTCTGCAAACACGGAATCATTGCAGGACTATAAAAAGGGACCCTTGACATTACAGTGGGACACAGTGCCGCCACTTTCTGGAACAGGGGGAAGAAAGATGGGGAAGAGTTCAAGAACGCCCCCCCCAGTCAATTCCCTTCTTCCACATGTCAAGATTAAACAGGAGGGAGGGTTCGGCATGCGCCAACACCAAGTACAACTAATGCTATTCTTTAACAAGGGTTTGCAAACCCTGGTTGAAAACCGACGGTCACGAGGCTGGTGTGACCAATGGTTAGGGCCGAAGCAAACGTCACTCCACCCAACGGCAGCGCTAAGGATGTCGTAATTAATTATATATGTTACACACCACTGTGTATTATATATGTTACACTTGAGCTGCGGTGACTCAAGTGGTTAAGACGCTGAACTGCAGGCTGTGGAAGGTCAGTAGTTTAGCAGTTCGAGACCCGGGTGCCGCATGACGGGGTGAGCTCCCGTCTCTAGTTCCCAGCTCCTGCCAACCTAGCAGTTCGAAAGCAAGAAATTGCAAGTAGATCAATAGGGACCACTTC